TGGTAAAATTCGGCAAAAATGCGTGCATTAGAAGCTTACATCATATTCCTTATATTGCCAAAAAATGAATGCGCTACGTTCAAATAGACAAAAGTTATATAAAAAGTTGCACTACTTATGTGCCAACCTAATAATTTTTTCAACTAAGATCCTGTTTCGCCTTTACCCCTAGACAGGGAACTGTATACCACTCCCGAGGCTCATCAGTAGAAAGGAGTGGGCTGTAGAAGGAATAGTGGTATCACTGTAACGAGGTTGCTTTTTATACCTGTGAGGTAGTCAAATAGAAGAAGGATAGGCCGAAGAGTCAGATCAAACTGTTTATGGTATTGGAAACGAACTTCTTAACATTTCTGAAATTGCTTAGTTGAATGTACTTGTATGTAACTTGTTGAAGGTAATACACTTGAAAATTCCTAGTTGTTATGATTTCTTTGCTATAATTTAATTTCAGTAACAACTTAAAGGCAGCGTCCAGGCAAAATTTCGCCTCTCATGTTTCTGCCATTCTGTGGCCTTCCTGTGGCCCTGATTACAGTTGTAAAGTTCAAATTGTTCAAAACTCCCAAAAAACTCGGTTCTTGGGGACTCTCTCTTCAAGGAGCGGACGAGTTTCGAATTGCTCGTCTCCCTCGTGGCAGCGGGAGGAGCTGCAACTGCACGGATGCAGTTGCATTGCAGTGTGCGTGCAACTGCAATGCAAGTGCAATGCAACTGCACACCTGCGTAGGCACTCGTCCCCAGGGGTGGTTTGTGATACGAAGGGGCGGCTTGTGATACGTATCACAGGTCCGTATCTCCTTTTAGAGGGCGCATCAAAGGATTGGACCAACGCAGATCGGATACTCATGGGCTCCTCTTTACAACTATGTGCTAATCTGGGTGGATGGATCATGCCTGGACGCTGCCTGTAACCAAGCTTTTAATTCTTTTATAAAAATCTTCGAATTTCGTTCATGTTCTGTAGATTCTTAGAACTTCTGTATAGATAATAGCACTTTTGAGTGCAAAGCTTATGTGATTAGTTTCGTGACAAAATCTTATAACTTCAAAAACAAAAGCTTCTGTTTCTGTTTCGTTATATTGTTTAGGATAATAATATCATTTTCAACAAGGATGTGTAGGTCTAGAAAATTGCACTCATACACTGCTGTATTGGTAGTTTCCATATTTAAAACATTATTTTGAACTTCTTTCAATAAAGACTTTATGTACTCTTGGGTTTTATCGTGAATAAGTATGTCATCCATATATCGGTATGCATGGAGTAGGAAATTTGGATTTTGTTTGTTGAATGCAAATGTGTATTCAAAGTATGAAAGTGTAAGATCTGCGATTATAAGGCTAGCATTACCTCCTTGAGGTACTCCAACTTTTTAATGAAATAGTTGTTTGCTTACTCGGCAGAAGCTGTTTTGTAAAATATAGTCTAGAAGATAAATTAGATCTTCAACTCTATAGTACCTCTAACCGTCATTATCTTCTTGTGTAGACGTACATGACTCTATGATTATTATTGATTTTTATGTATCTTTTGGAGGCATTTTTGAAACATAGTTTGATAATTTCTTTAAGATTATGGATAATGATACTATGGGGAATATTAGTAAACATGTTGGTAAAATCAGCAGTGAAGAGTCCTTTGTTTTTAGCTTCTATGTCTGTTAGATTTGATGATATATTGATATCATTAATCCCAGTAAGTTTGTAAGCATTTTAACGGGTATATTACAACCTTCGTTGATATTAATTTGCATATTCTTAGTAAAAGTAAGATGTCTGTTAATGATTTCTTCTATATTGGAATGCTCAACCTTATCATATATATGATTGTCATTATTATGCGTAGTTAAACCCATTTCTTCTATTATTATTAAGTATAGTCTTTTGCAAATGATTCCGTGATTGGAACTAGGCTTATCAAGGGGGCAGATTACAAAGAAATTATGTATATAGTCAGTTCTTTTTTTATAGATTTTAATTAATGTATTACTGTTAGTGCAGTAGAATAGTTTAGACTCAATTTTTCCGAAGTTGTGGTAGACTATCTTGCAGATTTTTTTAAATAGTACGACTGTTCGAGTGGTATTTTTTCTTTAACACGTTGACGACAGCGTGCATTTTCAGCTGCCTCCCTTGTGGTACAGTGCCTTTTACTAGACTGAGTTTTTTTTAGCTGAAATCAAGCAGGCCGTCATCTACAGTATCCCTACAGTGATTTTGAGGAGCAGCTAAGAAAGGCGGAAGTATTTCCTAGGAATGAAGCCTAACAGAACTTCTAAAACTACAATCATTGCATGACCCACCATGTGGGTCACATTGTCGTCAATGTGTTAATTTAATAATGTATTCATGAAGTATATCTAACCAATACTTTTGATTTTTTGCTTAGTAAATATGTATGGAGGTCGAAATTTTGTACCTTTTTTGAGGATTTCATATATTAGGTTGTCCCGAAAGTTTTGTCGGTTTCTTTCATCGCTCACTAAAACTCACAGAACACCAATCCATAGACGGCTTAGGCACCATTCGATTCAGATTTTTATTCTTTTTCTTACAGTTATACTTGCTCTCTGATCTACCCTGTCTTTGCAATGTTATCGTCAAGGCTTTTTGAGCAGCTCAGCGGTGACCCAAATATTTTCTGATTTTTACAATTTTTTGTTCTGATGTTTTCAAAGAGCGCTGGTAACTGTTATGTAGAGCAAACCTTTGGCTACACTGTATCCTTTTTAGATTACATAAACCTCGTTTATCAAGTCCGTTATAATTATTTATTTAATAAAAACCGCGGGTTTTGATTAAGTTTAACACGTAAAAGTACTAAAAATTCCAAAAAGCTGCTTTTTCGAAGCGAATCTAAGTTGGTTATTTTGCACAAATGATGTTTAGTAGGAATTATGTTTTAATACGCCGAAACGCCAAAAGCTTTCGTGTTTTTATGCAGTTGCGTTTTTATGACTTTGCCAAAAATGGAGACCTCCGGAGAAATAATTTTTTGAAGCTAAAATCAGCAGTTAAGGAGAATCTAAAAATTTCACCTTATAGTTTGAGAGTTGCTCTCTTTGATACATACTTAATCGTTTCCGAAACTTTGAAATGAAATTTTAAAAAATTAGCTTGACTTTGAGCAGATAAAATTGACGGATGGAGAATTTCAACAAATATCGGAAAAACCATACAAGTTTATGGCTCGAGAATGCACCCATAAGAAAGAGAAGAAAAAGCTGCATCGAGTGCATGTTGAAACTCGTTCAGGTGTTTATTGTGCTTGGTGTTATAGTAGTTTGAAAAAACCGACAAAACTTTCGGGACGACCTAATATGTCTAGTTTGTTAAAAATACTGATATTTCCTGTAACAACATGTTTGTGATGGCTGCATACATAAGTTTGGTATTTATTACAAATACAAGGTATATTTGCAACATTAAAATTTTGGATTGTGTTTAAAAACTTGTTGTAGTTAAAAATACGTGCAGAGATTGGATTGTTATATTCAAAAATAATTCTAAATTTTTTGAATTCCGTGTTTCCTTCAGTGAGCTTTGACGGTTTGGTTTTTGATAACTTTATTTTTATTTTTATTTTTATTTTTATTTTTTTAAACTTTAAACTTTTAAACTTTATTTTTTCCAGAATTCACCAACGCTTCTATCTCCATTGGAAAGAAGCCTGAGCCGATTTTTTAGCGCACAATAATCTAGAAGCACAATGTTATCTAATAGCGCTTACTGGAATCTTTTATGTTACACAGACACTGCGTTACATCCTTGCGAAAGGACCTCCACAGAAAAATTCGAGAAAACTGGAAGCGGAATATCCAGGGCGTGCTGTATATCAAAAGATTTGCTTTGACGATCTGAATAAAATGCTGCCTCCGGATTTAAAATATATTTACTGCGAAGGAAGCTATGGCGCTGCGTATTCTGTGTGACTCCCGTGATTCCGCGGATTCTATACTTTCTATGTGTAATCAGCGACAGATCAATGGCAATACTGTTATCAGCACACTGAACAATCCAACCAAAAAATCTGCAAAATTGAGCGAAAACTTACTGACTTACTTATACCTATCATATCTCGCTGAATTGTGGCACTCCTATATACAAGATGATGCGTCTCGCCGAGCTGAATCGAACAGTGACACCGGATTCAGATCGTCCATTCTGAAGCGAGATATGGCGATGCGAGCGTTCCGACGGACTCCAGTGATGTGCGGCGCACTCCGCCGCTTTCCGACAGACTCTAATGCAGTGCGGCGCACTCCGCTGCACTCTAACAGACTGCGTCGCACTCCGCCGCACTGCTGCGCACTCCGGCGGGGTGCGCCGCAGTCCGGCGACTTTTTTGACGAAATATGAGCGGTACTGTAGAGATCGGCAAAGTGCGCAAAACTGCATTATTGGTGCATGATTTCGAGCCCTACGTAAAGGATTAATTAATAAATTGCATTCAAGAATATAGGAAGGTGCCACCTTTAAAGGGGACCTTAGTTTTTGATACTCCTTAGAATTAGAATATATCGTTCTCTCTGTTCATCAATGTCATCATCCAAATGCCAGGAAATGTATGTACAGACTTGCTCTACATTACGGTCCTTACTGCGCAGAAGGCTTTCATAATAGTAGTTTTGCTTAGGCTTTTGATTCGCGCTGCTTTGTATTCTTTCCGCTCATCATAATAGCAAAGACACGTCTGCTAAACAAGTATCGCGATTTGTGTTTCGGTTAGCGCTACTGATTTGAGATTCTTCGCCCCTCCCTTATCCTCTGCAGATTACACGTGTAATCTACCGCGTTTCTAAAAGGATGCTGAGGCTCATTCACCTTTTCGTCTTCTCTAGCTCTCATCACAAGCTTCCTCGCTGCCATAAAGCAGGCCGTATGTCTTACAAGGGCTCAAGCCAAAACTCAGACTCAACACTTTTGAACTCGGGTTTAAAATTGGTTGAAATCAAAAAAAAGAATAACACTATCTGTTAAAACAAGGTCCTTTCTAGGTATTCATCCAGTCTTTTCTCATTTGTTTTGTAAACCTTGTAGCAGCTTATATTTGTGTCTACATGCAATATTTTCCTACGCCAGACTGGATGATACTTGCTGGACAAATAGCGTGGCAACTTAGCGGAGGTTGGTCCATTACTCGCGTAGTTCCAACTGAACCAAATAAAATTCTAGGACTTGTTTGCATTATTTACTTGGTTATGAATCGCACAATTCGACGAGGTGTCATTGATTTTCTAGTGCCACGAAAATGCTCGCAGAACTTCCGTCACACTTCATCTGTAGTGACACCATCTGGAATTCAAAGTCAGAATGCAAATAAGAAGTAAAGTTGGTTCCGCTCACGTTTGTGTATAATTTCTGTGCAGTATTTGATTAATCGTAGTAAATCTACAGCATTCAAAAAGTAGGAACGGCTGCAGAAAACTTCTCCGCTCAAAACACTGGATTTTTTCATCTACATCATCTACTTGCAACTTTCTTCCAGCTTCCTTATCAACTACTCCATAATGTTTCTGAGCACTTAAGCGATTAAATAGACACTTAATCATTTTTCGGAGTTCTTGCACTACCCGACCAGCTCGTCACAGGTGGTAGGAGGCAGGCTGGACATCGTTTAGGGATGAAAAGCAAAGAGGATAACGATTTAGCAAATTCCGAGAGGAGCCTGTAAAAAAGCATAGATTTACTTAGTATGATGTGTATGAGAAATGGTCAATTACTTTGTGCAAAGTCGGAATCCCATCCGTAAAACTTTCGATCACCGCCTAATACTGATTTCTATATGATACTTACCAAGTAAAACAACTTCGAGAAGTTGGTCAACTTGACGCCCACAACTCAACGAATTTTTAAAGCCATCCCCCTAACAAACAAAACTTCACTAGAATATGAGGTATTCGTTCGCTCTTCTTACATGAGTTGTACACATACTACTCGCAACTTTTACCCCTTCCACCCCCCCCACAATACTCCCTCCTCCTTAGTCACACCCCTTTTTTCGTTTCAATCCTCATCTTTTGGAATCGTTGCAAGTGCTCATCACTGCATTTCAGCTCCCATTCCCTGCAAGACCAACAATTGACCGCTTTCTGTGCAAGCGCGGGAATTCGAAAATGTGTACGAAATGAACAAAATGGTGCTTCGGAGCAGCTAGTGATATGATACCAAAATAGGTGTGTAGATGCGCAATATGGAGTACGAACTGTGTATGAGAAATCATGGAAAAGTTATTTGAACTGAAGATCTGGCTAATTTCTTTCAAAGTACGTGGTTTTCGAGCCACCTGGGGAGCTACCTGAGGATTCAGAGCAAACATAAACAATTTTCTTTCCTTCACATAATTTTTTCCATGTATCTACATAACTTTAACTATATTTAAAGCCTTAAACGAGTTTTTGAACCTCCCCATACCTCCTCCTCTTAGCAGTCAGAGCAAAATTTTTCGATGACGGCTGCTGCTCAAACGCGCAGTGGCGTGCCGGACACAGCCTGCCTCCAAATCGGAGACAAGCATCATTAGGGTTTGAACTTCCATTTAATTTTTATATTCTATTTTGCTCTATTTTGTCATCCATGTTGTTTTTTCACAAGCATGTCATAGAGGATGTTGTACTTTTGTTACGAAGTCAACGGGGCTTCGTTTTAAGAAATTGCCAGAGACGCTTCGTGCCGAATTTTGTACGGTGCCATGTGTCGAAGAATTTCTGTCGGATTATCAAAGAAACAGCCGACGAAAACAGAAGAGAGATAAGCTTTGACTTTGTTTCGAAACATGAATTCTCGTATATGCTGGTCGTCTATTCACTGGATCATATACCCATAAAGAAGCCCGTTCTTTCAGACATCTATTTGAGATTTTACTCACCATGAAGTGAAAGTGGTCGAGTTATCAAAAGAAGTTAAAGATATCAAAAGAAGTAAATGAGGTTTATCAGCGTTCGATGCTGCATCTGATGTTATGCAGCTTGTTCGGATTCGTTACTTCGACTTCTGACCATTCTCTTTTGAGTTGAAGCCTGCTGTACAGTGCTTGAAAGATCGGAAGAGCTTTTCGTAAGGATACTCATCAAACAGATGACACATTTTTTGAGATCCGTGTAACGAGCATTCGCTATAAGCACTGTTCAGCATATCTACAGCGAATTAGTTTATTGAAAGCACTTTAAGAATGCTGGCAGAGATATGAAAGGCTTAGATAGGCCTTTTGAGATATCTATAAAATGCAAAACAGAGTCTCTCTTTTACAAGCAGTTTTGCAAAATGCCTCCTATACCTACATATTGGTTGCAAATCCTCATGTTTTTTGCTACAGATATAAACAGCATGTCACAATTGATCTTGATTTGCCGTGTAGCCGAGGGTTGTATGTACATAACCGCCAAATGCTATTCAGTGTGCATTGACTACACTTTGCAAAAAAAATCTTAGAAAGTCATAACAGCGATTTATCAGGAAGTTGACTATACAAGGACGTAATCGTTGCTTTGGTTACTAACGAAAAATGTTATTAGATACACGTGGCAGACCCCCGCTCAAGAAGTTTTTGGGGGATCAGTCCACAAGTATCCTAAGAAGGCAGTTTGAGTTGACAAGTCTATGGGGGACACTTCACTCCCACACTGTCCACATCATCATTGCTGGTTTTATCGAAATAAAGGTTGATAACCTACTCAGACAATCGACCGGACCCCTCCGCCGGAGAGTCGGAATCTGCCAGAGTTGCGCCGGACCCAATGCTTGACCAATGAGAGCGGGGCAAATGGGCGGTCCCTTCTTGTAGGTCGCGGTGACATCACTGGCAGGCAAATGGGACGCTTCTCCGGCCCTGCTGCAAAGGTACGCCATTTCTGCTCCGGAGGTACGCCAGATTTGGCAGAGCCGCGCCGGAGAAGTTTGCCCGGCGCGAGTCCGCCAGATTTGGAAGAGCCGCGCCGCAGAAAATCGGAGGGGCCCGGAGCACAAATGGGAGGTCTCCGGAGCAGAAAATAGGAGGTATCCGGAGCAGAAAATGGGAGGGCTCCGGAGCAGAAATGGGAGGTCTCCGGAGCAGGAATGGGAGGGCCCCGGAGCACAAATGGGAGGGCTCCGGAGCAGGCTGCGTATCGATTTGGCGCGTAGCAAGCAAACGTCTAACTCCACGGTGATGAGTCCTCTGTTTACGCTCTTTCTTCATATTTTATTCGTTGTTTTTTTGATTTTGTTGTTTCTCCGCGTTTCTTACCGTTTTTTTTTCTTTTCCGCGTTGCTCTTTGTCGCGTTGGCTTTTATGTTGTTGTAAGTTCCTCGTTTTCAGGTTTAGGTTTCAATTTTTCGTGCGGATGCACTTAGTCACTTCTAGTGCTTGGCTCTTTTCGACTTGCTGAGACATCATTGACTATTGATGGAGTGGTTTTTGTGATTCATTCCGGATTTTCGAAACAAAAAGTATATAATCCGAGTGAGTCTACTTTTTTTGTTTCGCACTTGTTCATGCTTGAGCTCCACGGTGGATTGCCTGTTCAAGACACGTACTTAAATCTACCCATGGCTGCGCAAAGCACGCCCCGTGCCCCAGTGCGAATTTCTCCGGCGCGCAGGATCTTCGCTTTTGGGGCACGCTAGACATTGTGGACTTCTATTCTACGCGTAAATAGGTTATATGAGTGCTGTCACTTGTCTTCCCTGGAGGTCTTCCACATATTAACACCTCAAATCTAACGTAAGGTGATATTCCGTATATGCTCAGCGCTTTCTCATGGTAATTGAATGCTCACACTTGCGAAGTAGAAGTCTCTTCTAAGATTTCTCTTCGTTTACGTATTTGAAAAAGGTCCACCTTCTGCATTTACCACACTTCATTAAGAAGCTGGAGAGAGTATTCATGAAAGTTCTCTGACATAGGCGGCTAAAGCTGTATTGTAGGTATTGTTGATTTCTGTCTTTACGACCGAGTCTTTGTCCATAAACGTGTCGTATAGTGCCAGTCATACGATATGTACTTCTCATAACTCCTATCCAGCGTTTGATGCAAGTCCAATAGAAGACTAGTGGATAGGAGTTCTAAGTTGGCTTCTAACGAAACCAGCTCAGAACTTCTTTGTTGATTGATTTGTTGAAAGCTATCTTAGAACTTCTATCCAGTTCTTTTCGTTAGAAACCAAAGAAGTATTGATGCCTCAGTCCATCCTGATAAAACTTTTTATTTGACTAATGTTTGAAAAAGGCATTGTAGAGGAGGTCTTAATTTTCACTGAAACCTAGGGATCAAGTCTGTACCTAGCGTGCTCCGGCATCGTAAACCATGCGCGCTGGCTAATTTGGCGCCGGGTCATGGGGCGCGCTTTGCGCAGCCATGTGTAGATCTAAGTACGTGTCCTGTTCAAGTGTGTATGTGCGCTCAGAGTCGGCGTCATTCATTACCTAATCTGCTACGTATCTTCCAAGATTCATGGTAAACGTATAGACTATCGGTATCGGTCGTATTATCAAATCAATCTCACATTCAGGTTACGCGTGTAGAAGAACAGTATTGGGACCATTTGCTGTCACTCTACTTTCTGATACCCTTCTTAACGTGTACATTGGCTCTCTATCAATTCAATAAAGTAAGTGATGCCAGATTTCCCTTTCTGCTTCTCACTAAACCCTAGTTTTAGTATCCAGCACGAGTTTTTGTTTGTGATAGATTTTGTTATTGGGCAGGGATGGCTCTAGCCGTCGTATCAATTCTTGGTCATTTTAGCACGAGCATGATACTGTTTCTTAATCTACAGGTACAGTCGAGTAGATTTAGCGGTAAATATAGTGTGCTTGCACAAAAGGTGAAATGCGGTGAAATTGGCGAGTGAAGAAATAGTTTCGACTGTGACGTCGGCCAATTGCGCGCGCAAGATACCCGCGGTACTGACGTGACTACTTGTTCACGCGCAAATTTCACCGCATTTCACCTTCTGTGCAAGCACACTATATTTACCGCTAAATCTACTCGACTGTACTTTACGGCCATCGCTCGTTATTGTTCTCATAGACTGTGATTCTATTGCGGATTCTGCGAGTTTTGTGTACTTCAGGTATTTAATTTTCTATACTCTTTACCACAACTCTTCAAGCTTGTGCCATGTCCCCGACATCGCTTACCGAAGTTTAATCCGGTAAGAATAAGGCATGTTTAATCTCCAAATTCTGTCCTTGTATCCATTTGTTGGTGTTTAGGTTGGCATGAGTATGGCTGAGTTCATAGAATCGGATCTCAAATTTTTCGGAAATTTTACTCTCAAACTGTTCTCCGCGTTTGGTCTACTTCACAGCAGAAGTTTTGATAGAGATGGGACGAGGCAAGTGCTCGTTA